CATGGTGAGCTAAGAAAATAATAATAAAATATTAGTGATCTATGAGAATGGTGAGCTATCACATATGTCTCTAACTCTAACACTTAGGAAAATTTATAAGGATTGAGAACGGGCTCTAGCTATGAAATTGGAGAACTCTTAACAAAAATTAATAAAATATTGGTGACCAATGCAATTGGTGAGCTAAGAAAATAATAATAAAATATTGGTGATCTATGAGAATGGTGAGCTATCACATTTGGTGAGCTAAGAAAATAATAATAAAATATTAGTGATCCATGAGAATGGTGAGCTATCACATATGGAGGGTTATGAAATTAGAAAACTCTAACAAAAATTAATAAAATATTGGTGAGCCATGAAATTGGTGAGCTAAGAAAATAATAATAAAATATTGGTGAGCTATAAGAATGGTGAGCTAACACATGGTGAGCTAAGAAAATAATAATAAAATATTAGTGATCTATGAGAATGGTGAGCTATCGCATATGTCTCTAACTCTAACACTTAGGAAAATTTATAAGGATTGAGAACGGGCTCTAGTTATGAAATTGGAGAACTCTTAACAAAAATTAATAAAATATTGGTGACCAATGCAATTGGTGAGTTAAGAAAATAATAATAAAATATTTGTGATCTATGAAAATGGTGAGTTAACCCATGGAGAGTTATGGAATTGGAGAATTCTAACAAAAATTAATAAAATATTGGTGAGCCATAAAATATTGGTGAGCCATGAAATTGGTGAGCTATGACATGGAGAGTTATGAAATTGGTGAGTTATCACATATGGCTCTAACTCTAACACTTAGGAAGATTCGTAAAGATTGGGAACGAGCTCTAAACATAATAGGAGAGCTATAAAATTATGAAGCTCAAAAAAAAAAAATTTAATAAAATATTAGAGTTGTAAAATTGAGAGTCTAGTTAGCATCACATGGTGAGCCAAGAATTAGGATAACGCATCCGACTTTGATCCCTCACATGTTGGGGAGGCAGGGGGGGGAACTGAAATCTGGTCCGCCCCTTGTTGGGAGCTAGGAACTAGGTGACTTGAGGAGGCCATGGAGGAGAGTAACTCTATTCATATTGGTGAGCTAGTTTGAGGGATTTGAGAGAACATGAAGTAAAGTGGAAGAGCTAAAAAAAATTAGAAGAGTTATTTTTATAAATAATAATTATTTTTATTTAGTTAATTAGTTAATTAATTAATTAATTAATTATTTTTATTTTATTTTATTTATTTATTATTATTATTATTATTATATATATATATATATTTTTTTTAAAGTATAAGTGTGATTCATGAGTGCAAAACTTACTTGTTGCAATTTGGGGTGATGCAAGTAGGAATTGTTTGCTCAAAATGAAGCGGAAAGCCGTTGTATGTTCGTCGAAGAAAGTGGCCAAAAAGTTGCCAAGCAAAGCAAGTGGGGAAGAGGCTGCTGAGGTGCCTTCTGTCGAGCACTGGTTTCGTGCTCCTTATTTTGGAGTCGGGGATAGATTCTGGCAACCATTGGAGGATACAAGGACTGTTAATCGATCTCAAGTTTTGTTGGGGGTACCCGAGGCAGAAGAAGGAGCAGAGGGGATGATAGCTCCAGAATCTATTATGCGGTTACACATAGAGCGCGGCCTCTACCCATATGCATTCCCCGCTCATAACAGCTATGCTTTTACCAAGAATGGTGGGGGTTTCGATACTTGGGCTAAGGAAGTGCTGACTAATCCTTCTTCTAAAGAGGTTTTAAAGAATGCAAGTGTGTATGGTGCTATAGTGGCAAGTGTGAGGTTGAATGTGAGAAGGGAGCCATCATGGTTGAGTGTGGCTTTTTCCCGTTGGAGTTCTAGTTCTCACACCTTTGTCACTCGGTGGGGGGAATTGACACCTACATTGGAGGATGTCTGCGCATTGACTGGTTTGCCTATACTTGGTGTTGCAGATCCACTTGCTAATACATCTGTTCCGAGTCATCTAAAGATTGTATCGATTTTGAAAGCCTCAATTTCAGAGGCAGGATTCTTATTGAGCGGCTACGATAAAGGAGGGGTGTATCTTGGGCCGCAGCGTCGGGAGCATTGTAAGAATACCTTTGGGGGATGGCTGCGATATTGGTATCGAGATTTGAATCCATCTCCGGCAGAAGGAACCGACATAGAAGAAAATGGGGTAGATGGGCCTGGATATGAAAAGTATAAGCATAGTTCCACCTACCTTGCTGCTTTCCTTGCGTATTGGTTAAGTCGGTATATCTTGGAGGGAGCACCCAAGGATGGAGTAGACCTGTCTGTGTTTGATATTGCTTATCTTGCGAGTGGTCTTTCGGTTGCACTTGGGCCATTGTTTTTGGGAACTCTATACAGAAGGCTTGATATGTATCAGGTTGGAGCAGAGAAGTCGAAGGGTCGGTATGATGTTATTAGTTTTGTATCGACTTCCTTCTTACAGATGTTCTTGTATGAACGGTTTCCCAGGCTTGCTCCTAGGCCGACGGATTTTGAGCCTGGAGAGGGGCGAGAGCGCCGAGCTACAAGGTGGTACGGGACACGCATTCGGGGGCCGCTGATGGATATTCTTGATGATGAGAGTGAGTTTATAGCTCGTCCCTACGTTCCTCCTGTGGTTGGGGTGGTTCCGTTTCGGATGTATGACTCGAGAGATTCTGAGGTGGCTTTTGATGGTCGACTGAGTAATGCCAAGACAATGACTGCTTGTAGCTTCTTGTCATGTTCCTTGCCTTATTTTATAGGAGGAGCTTATGGCTCTATATCCTATAATCTGGCGAGAGTGGCTCGCCAATTTGGATTTGATCAGGGGGTCCCTAGTCCTAGCGTAGTCCTTCCTGTGTCTGATACTTTTGAGCAGTTTTTCTGTCATACTCATCTTCCGAGACTCCAGAAGTATGGCAAGTTTATTCGGACGATGGCTGATCGTGTAGGTGGGGTAACAGTTGGTTGGCGACATTATTGGAGGGAGACTTTTGCAGCCTTTCAAGAGTTTCTCGGGGGTGATATTGGGGACTTAGAGTTTATATGCATTCCATCGGATAACGAACTGTGTCAACTGCGCGTGAAAGGCCGGACTGAATTGGCTAGAGGCTAGTTGTCTCGATTTGCACGTTTAGAGTTACTCTCTGATGTGTTGACTCAGGCGAGGGTGGTTAAGAAGGAGCCTTCCCAGAGAATAAAGGTTAGCTTTTTTTTTTTTTTTTAAGTGACTTCCTTTCTTGTTGTGTTTCCTTTATGTGCTTCTAAGTTGGGCGCTTCGTTTCTTTAGGTACAAAGGTCAGCTATCCATCATGATGTTTCTGTGGCACTTAGGGTGGCAGGCGTGCCTTCTGAGGAAGAGAACTCTGCTGATGATTTGCTTCCGCGTCGGCGGTTGCGGAAACAAAGTAATGCTAAAGGTTTTAGTGATTCCGAAAGTGAGGGTGACGATGGGGATAGCTCAGAGGCCAATTTGAATGCGAGAGATGATGATGTTGTGAAAGTTACATTTGAGCGGGCAAATGTTCCTCTTGATAGGATGAGATCTGAGGTTGTTGCGCCATGTGGTGAAAGTAGAGTGACTTTTGCACCTCCTCTATTACAGTTAGGGCATCCGGTGGCACAGTCAGTTAGGCTTGGGGAGTCCGATGTTGATGACCCGACTGGTCAGTTGCCTTTGTCTGATGTTCAGTCTCGCCTGCCTCCTGGTGGAGTCCCTACCATATCTTTATTTGGTGGGAGTAGTGGTGTTTCATCGGTCGATGCTCATCTTAGTGTGCCTTCAGTTGTGGCTTCAGTTGGTGCTCAGACTAGCCTTCATTTGGTGGATAATCAGCCTGGTACTTTGCCTGCTTTGTTGGGAGTTGCTACTAGTTTGCCACTTGGTAAGAGTGGTAGTTATGTCCATGATGATACTATTGCTCCCGACGGTCAGGCGAGTTTACCTTTCTTGGATGGCGAGTTTACCGTGACCCGTCTTGATGGTGGTTGCGTATCCTTGGCAGGGACTGATGGCAAGGAGCAAGTCCTCGATTCCAAAGTACTGTTTGCTGGCGTGCGAGATGAATGTTTGCCTAGACTGAGCTTTATTTTTTATCACAGACCCAGCACTTTCATGCGTTTGGAGGCTATGTTCTTACGACGCTATTTGTTAGAGGCGTTCTGTGATATGCTCAGCAAGTTTCATGGTCTTACCCCGGAGACTTCTATTGATACGTTTCAGTCATTTCAGACTGCTGTGGCTGAGTTTCAACGGCATGAGTTTGAGGTGAGCTGGCTGAGAGAGAGTTTGTCTCGTATGGAAGTGCAGGTAAAGAATCGCCATCTCAAGTTTGAGCTAGCGGAAATGGACAGGGCTTTGATGGAATCGGCGTCTTCTAGGGAGAAGGCTGTGGTGGAGTTAGAGCGGGCGACCAAGGCATTGGCGGATGTGGACTTGGCGATGTCGAGTTTGAGAGAGAGGAGAGCCGTGGTAGAGGCTCAGCTTATTAGTGTGGAAGATGAGGCTTTTGACTTAGATAGCCAGATAGGTCCAAGTTAGACAAGTTGAGGAATTTCTTGTACTGGTTGAGCTAAAACCCCAAGTACTGTATATATTTTTGTTTTCTCTCTCAATCTTTTTTTTTTTTGATTGATGATTTATTAATAGTTACACAAAACGTAATGAGAATGGAGATAGCAAATGATTGTTTATTTAACATAAGCATGAGCTGATGTTTTACATTGCCATTACATCAGTAAGAGTAAATTTCTCAGGGGTGATTCTTCACTCTTATCCTAAGGGAAATAGGCCTTTAGCCATTTGGCATTGATAGGGCTCAAGAGAGCTTGCGAGTTTGGTTCAGAAATTCTATAATAACCATTCTCGTTGGCCTCTCTTACTACGTAAGGTCCTTGCCACTTAGAAGTGAACTTGTGGTTAGAGGTTCCTCTCATGACATGAGGTGCAGCACGAAGTACCAAGTCACCTTCTTGGAATTGTCTAGGGCGCACCAAGGTATCATAGGCTCGAGCTATGCGACTTTGGTAAACTTTGAGGTTAGCCAGGGCCTTGTCCCTTCTTTCATCAAGGATCTCCAATTCATAGGATCTGGAGTCAGGAGTAACTTCACTTCGGAGGGCCATGCGAGCTGAGGGTATGGCAATTTCCACTGGAAGAACTGCTTCCGTGCCGTATACAATGAGAATGGGGTCATTTGAGTCGGCCGTCTTTTGGATGTTCTGTAAGCCCAGAGCGCCATTGGGAGTACGTGCGCCCAATGCCTTCGATAATCCTTGAGAGTCCGTGAAAGGATTCTAAGGAGTGTTTTGTTGGTCGCTTCTGCTTGCCCATTCCCTTGGAGATAGTAAGGAGTTGATTTATGGTGCGTGATGTCATAGGAGACAAGGAGTTGTCCGACTTGGCGGTTGACAAAAGGGGTCCCATTGTCTGAAAGAATTACTCTAGGTATGCCGAAACGACATATGATGAATTCTCGAATGAAGTTGGAGATAGCAGCTCCTGTTGCCTTTTTTAGAGGGATGGCTTCTACCCATTTAGTATAGGTCTCTGTAGCCGTTACAATCCATATGTGTCCCCTTGATGGCAGAGAGATGGGGCCAATGAGGTCCATAGCCCATGTGTGGAAAGGCCATGGTGGGCTCAAACTATGTAAATCAGTGGCGGGTGCATGAATGAGGTTTCCATGGAGTTGGCAAGGCTTGCAGCGTTTGGCATACATTTTAGCATCTGCCTCCATGGTAGGCCAATAATACCCTAAATGTAGAAGATGTTGAAATAGTTTCGCTCCGCCTTGGTGCTCTGATCCATGAGTAAGTTCCAAAACTTTATGGATTTCAGCTCCTGACAAGCAACGTAATGGCTTTCCATCGAAGCCATGCCTGAAAAGTTGCTCTCCTTGCAAAAAGAATTTCGGAGCTCGTTTCTTGATTGTTGTGGCTGCAGAGCGTTCTGGTGGCAATGATTCTTCTTTGAGGTAATCTATGTATACCTGACGCCAGTCGGAGGTGATTTCTGTGAAGTTGCATTCAGCCTTTGGAGGGAATTCTTGATATTTGGTGCACTTCCCTTGAAGGTCATTCGCTTCCTTGGCCATGGTAGGCCAATAATATCCTTGTCGTTGTAGCCTCCTGTAGAGGCTTACATCTCCTGTCCCGCATGAGCGGTTGTGCACCCCTTCTAATTTGGACTTGGCTTCGATAAGGTCAATGCATCGTGCCAATAAACCACCAGGCCCTCTATAGTAGAGGACTCCTTGATAAATTGTGAAGTGTTTGGTCTCACTCAAAGGTAGTTTACCTGAGGGGGCACGGAGCTCATCGACGATTGGGGCTCTCCAATCGGCGAGTTCTTTTTCAGGGAAGATAGTTGTTACTGAACATGGCACGGAGCGTTTCAAGACTTCTATCTTGGTTGATTCTTCCGAGAATTCCACCTTTGAGGCCAAGGTGGCGAGGGCGTCCGGGTGTCGATTGTTAGAGCGAGGAGCGTGTTCTATCCTTACCGTGTCGAATTTGTCTGTCAACCTTTGGACGATGGTTCTGTATGAAGCCAAAGGGGGCTCTTTGATAGCATAGTCTCCATTGGTCTGCTTGACCACCAGATTAGAGTCGTCTTTGATACATAGGAGACTTACTCCTAGGTGGAGTGCTGCCATAAGCCCCAATATCAGGGCTTCATATTCCGCCTTGTTGTTAGAGCATTTAAAATCCAGTTTATATGACAAATTGACTTCAGTTTGATTTGGGGAAACAAGGACTATTCCAGCTCCTCCCCTTTTAGAGGTGGACGATCCATCAAAACTCAAACTCCATTCTCCTTCGGTGTTTACTTCAGCCGCTTAAAACTCATCTCCTGGCAATTCATCCGAGGGCGGCTCATGTTTTCCATTGGGAAAGTGAGCCAAGAGGTCAGCGAGCGCTTGACTTTTGATGGCCTTGGGAGCTTTGCAAGTGATGTCATATTCCGCTAAAGATAGGAGCCAACGGGCTGGCCTGCCAGAGAGCGCTGGTCTAGTGAGGAGAAATCGGATAGGATCGCTTCTAGTCATGAGATGGATGGGGTAAGAAAGAAGGTAATGACGGAGCTTTTTGGCGGCAAACACTAGGGCGAGGCAGTGCCGTTCAATGGGGGAATATCGGATCTCAGCCCCTTGGATGACTCTGTTTATGTAGTACACGGGACGTTCAAATCCGTCAATTTCCTGGGCGAGCAGAGCTCCGACTGATTTCGGCGTGGAAGTGATGTAGAGAAGTAAGGGCCTTGCCGACTGAGGAGGAGTCATGGAGAGAGGGGATGTTAAAGCTGACTTCACTCATTCGAATGCTTGTTGGTGTTCCTCATTCCAAGTGAACCTGACATCCTTCTTTAGTAAAGAATTGAAGGGTTGTGTTATTTCGGCCATAGCTGGGATAAACCGTCTCAAGTAAGACGCCCGTCCAAGGAAGGTTCTCAACTCATCTAAATTGGTTGGTCGTGGCATATTTTGGATGGCGGTGACCTTTGCTGGGTCGGGGTCTATCCCATGGCGATGAACGATGCAGCCAAGGAACTTGCCGGCAGTGACTCCGAATACGCATTTAAGCGGGTTCATTTTGAGTCTGTATTTCTTACAACGTTCGAAGACTCTTTGGAGGTCTTTGAGGTGACTAGTCTCCTCTTTGGATTTTACTACCAAATCATCAATGTAACATTCCAAGGACTTGTGCAACATATCGTGAAAAATGGCTGTCATAGCTCTTTGGTATGTTGCTCCCGCGTTTTTTAATCCAAAAGGCATTACAGTATAGAAGAAGTTACCTATAGGAGTGCGAAACGCCGTCTTTGGGGCATCCTCTGGGGCCATCTTGATCTGGTTATAGCCGCTAAAGCCATCCATGAATGAGAACATATGGTGCCCCGCCGCTGAATCAATCAAGGTATCTATGTTTGGGAGTGGGAACTCATCTTTGGGGCAAGATTTGTTTAGATCTCTGAAATCGACGCACACTCGAATTTGACCATTCTTTTTAATGACTGGGACGATACTAGAAAGCCAGGTGGGATGTTGAATAGGTTTAATAAACCCTGCTCCGAGCAGTTTCACCACTTCGTCCATGATGTTGAGCTCCACCTCAGGCTTATAAAATCTTACTCCTTGCTTGACTGGGCGAGCCAGGGGGACGACGTTCAGACGGTGCATGGTAATATCTTTGTCTAATCCTGGCATTTCTTCATATGTCCATGCGAAAACGTTCGAATATTTTCTGATCAACTCGATAAGGGGCCCCCTTTGTTTTGCTGGGAGATCTTTGCAAATGAAGATAGGACGCCTGGGTTCTCCTTCAGAGGCTATGTTGATGTCTTCCAATTCTTGTTTTTGGGGCCTAGGACCATCCTGTAAACACTCCGGAGCAGGTCGGACTTCTTGCAATCCATCTTGCTTGGCGGAGACTTGGTTAGGAGATAAAATGGCTGCCTTGAGGGGTTTAACTTTTGAGCCTTCGGCTCCATCCAAATGAGTTACCGTAGGACAATAGGATTTGTCAGAGTGTTTATCTGTTGCTGGAAAAGCCACAGCTTTTTTTCTTCTTCTGCTCTTCTTGTCTCTACTTTTTTTTATTCTTTGTCATTGGCGGGCGTTGGACCAGCGCAGACAAGGTGTAGCAACAGTGATCTTCTCCACTTAGTTCACGATGGACAATTGCTACGTCGTCTAGCTGGGGGTCGGCATTGGTAACATTTGCCAACCCCTCGCACCGTCATAAATGGTATACCACTCTGCCATCTTTTGTTTGAAACCTGGTGACTTTAGGGAGCTTTCTTGAGGGCTCTAATTTGGTGAATGTCTTTCTACGAGGTGGTGATGAACCTTCTTCAGAGAGGTCATCCCAGTCAGGTATAGGAGTTCCTCGAAGTAGCAGAGGAGGTTCATCCTCATTGACATGATTGTAAAATACTGCATTTGCCATGTGAGCTTCATCTACTCGAAAAGGCTTTTGAGAGCCAGTATGGCTACTACCTCATTGTTGTGGATTGCTTTGACACATTGATGGTAAGTGGACGGGATCGCAGCATATCTGTGAAGCCAAGTTCTCCCCAGGAGAGCCTGATAGGTCGTCTCTGCTTCTATAACATGGAACTTAGTAGTAGAGCAAATTGGTCCGACTGCTAAGTCTAACTGGACATGACCTATGGTTTTAATTTTTTGGCTTCCAAAACTGGTGATGGAGATGGGTTGTCTAACTAAATGCTTTTGTGGGATCCCAGCTTCCTGGAAAGTAGAATAAGGCATCACATTGAGTGAAGCTCCTCCATCCATGAATCCTCTTTGAAACTCCATCCCATTGATGAATACTGGGACGTAGAGGGGGCGGTTATGTGGAAATGGTACTTGTTTGTCGGCCTCGGTAAAGGTTATTGCCAAGGAGTTATCCCGAAATACTTTCCTTACTGATCCGCTTACACTCATACACGTTTCACCATTCTGCTCTGCAAGTCTTAAAAAGGCCTTGGTGGCTTCAAAGCATGTTGCTTCAGACAGACCGAATTGGTCGAAGAACCACTTGAACTTTGTCGATTTCTTAAGCGCTATCACGCGTCTAGTTTCAAAGTCCGAACAGGTGGGAGCTGGGAGTTCAGAGAGCTCGCACACCATTGGCTCTTCTGTCTCGTCATAATGTGAAAGCATCATGACCGTCTTGCCATTATCCTTATGGCGCGGGAGAGGATCTTTCAAGACATCTTCTGTTTGGCGAGGTAGCTCCAAAGCGTCTTCAGACATCATTTTTCGAACTAGCGATCTGAGTGCCCAACATTTCGTAGTAGGATGCTTAACGGAACGATGATATATGCAATAGTCTGCCCGCGCTTGATCCTTTTTGTTAACAGGTTGCCTTGGCTCGGGGAGGTGAACTTTTCCATCTTCTACCCAGGCATTGAGGAGTGCCTGTGCCTCATGCACTGAGATAGGTAATGGCGGGGGAATTTGATCGAGCTTTCTCTTTTTTGCCTGCGAGTCTTCTCTTCCCCAAGAGGAGCCCTTGGCTGCATACGCCGCGTGGTTGCGTCGGTTAGGCCTCCATGGGGAAGGTTGAGGTGCTGTTGGTCGCCAGGAGTGGGGTTGTGGTGCTGTCATTCGTGCCCCTGATCTTACTGTTTCACTTATGTTTCGGGCCGCAGCACGTAAAGTGGAAAAGTCAGAGAAGTGGTGGTTAACCAGCTGGAGTTTATAAGTCGTTAGCATTCCTTCAATGCACAATGACACCAGTTGGTGCTCTTCCATCGGGTCTTGAATGTCTACTGTTTTTTCCCTGAAATGGCGGACGTAACCGAGAATGTCCTCCCCAAGTCGCTGTGTTTCCCTCATAAGGTGAAGGGTGGTTAACCTTTCTTCAACGTAGAAGAACTTGATATAAAACTTTTTTATCAAGTCTTCCCATGAAGAAATAGAGCCAGCAGCAAGGTTAGCATACCACGAGAATGCTCGATCTGTGAGGGATTTGGAGAATTCCCTCATGCGGAGGTTTCGGTCCTCTCGGTGAGCTCCAAGGGCGTCAAGAAAGCGTGAAACATGCTCCCTAGCGTTCCCTTTTCGTCCGTCGAAGCGAACAAACTTGGGTACTGTATATCCCGCCGGATATGGAAGACTCGCGATGTGAATAGGGTAAGGGGGACGGAGGTCCAATTCTGGGGAGGCAGGGATGTGGCCTTTGTTTGTCTGAAGTAGACTGTGTATGTGTTCTTTTACTACTTCCAATGTTAATGGCTGGGAAGGGTTCTGATCCACCGAGAGAGCAAGAGAGCTAGTGGAAGTCACTGCGGCAGGAGCTCCGCTAACGGATCCAACTTGCGGTGGGGGTATTTGGCTGGGGGCTGACGGAGGGAGCGGGGTGACCGTTTGTCGTCTCGTTTGGGTTTGCAAGTTGTTTTGCGTAGCGAGGTTGGCCTCCGAGCCATTCTAGGCTAATGGCGGAGCACCATTTTGTGATGCCGAAAGAGGGTTGGACGACGATGGAACTGTAGGTGCCTTTTGTAAGGCTAGTAGGGCATCCATCAAGAGTTGTTGGTTCTGTTGAAGAGAAGTGACGCTCTCAGTCAACGCACGAAGTTGGTCCGCTATGACCGGTTGGGAGGATTGTTCTTCTGGAGAGCCGTCGGAATTGTGTTCCGAGGTCTCCGCCAGAGTCTCTCTACCGCCACCTTGGGATGTTGCTATTCTAGTTCCAGTGTTCTTTTTGGGCGCCATGTGAAGCGAGCACCACTCTTCCCCAGCAGAGTATAATGTAGGTGAGAGGTGTGGTTAGAGGTAGTCCGGGAAGATGGCGGGCACTTCAATGGCCTGAGATCACCGGAGGTGGAGAGGAGGAGGTCAAGGCAAGCTTGGAGAGGGAGAGGTTGGCAGTGATAGACCTTTTGAACACTAGTATGATAGAGGGTGTTTAAGTATGAAACTTGGTTGTATTGTTGTTGTTGTGTCTCGCTGCATATACGATACGTTATATAGGCCGCAGGAGTATTGGAGCCCAAGCAAACTGTTGGACAGGTGGCTTGTTCTCCTCAACTCTGCCAGAAGTGATATAAGCCCTTTTGCCGTCTGTGGCTTGACGGTAGGCGGAGAGCAACGTTTCATGGCAGGCAGAAAGTAACGTTTCGTATATGCATCGGATGACATGAACG